ATGTAGTAGACTATTAATATTTCTATTAGGATAATATCAAATTTATAAAAGAATGTATGGGTTAGGGTATTTTTTGTACTGTATATATTCATATAATGTTTTTTCCCCTTTACACAGTTCTGTGTTTTGTTCCTTTCCCCTTTTCTTCTTCTTTTTGTATCACTTTATTGCTTTATATTTGATTTTTTTCCAACGAAATATGAATTAATTAGAGAGAGAGAGAGAGAGAGAGACATATATATTTTCTTGGTCTGCTCCCAGAACGATGGGCAGGCATCCTTGCAACTAATATTGCCCGCAGCTCTGTCCACTCTTCCCCTTTACTCAAGGGTTCAGGATGAGGCCAGGCTTCCTGGGCAATGGGGATGTTTCTGGAATTCTCTCATGCCTGTCAGGGAGACTCATTCCCTTGGAAAGATGCCACTGCCCATGTATGGGCAGAAAGAGGGAGGATCAATGCTGCTTGGGGCCTCTGTGTTTCAACAGGCAGAGAGTGGTGGATGAATCCAAAACACTGGCTTAACTTTTTTAAGGCATGTCTTGGCACACAGTTTGGAAATCCCTGGACTAGAATGTACCATGTAGAAACCCTTGCTAGTAGATTCCAGGGGCAGAGAGGCACAACCTCAAACTGGTGCTCATATATATATCATGTATTTACAACATTTATCTGCTGTAACTGGATGCCATTTCACTTATATAAATAAATGACTTCAGCCCCAAATATCTGAAAGACAATCTCCTTCCGTGCAGCCCCTCTTGGGAGTTAAGGTCCTCCACCCTCAGATGCTCAGGCATGGGGTTGACCCATGACAGAGGGTTCTCTGTGGCTGCCCCTACATTGTGGAGTTCAGTCCCCACAGAGGTGTGTCTACACTTTCATTGTACAGCTTTCATCCTATGCTGAAGATACACACCTCTTAACTCTTGCCTTTGACACTTGAGAGATATAAATAAATTTAGGACCCACTCTAGTTGCAATTGTAATTTGTTTTAAGGTGTTTTTAAAGTTGTATTTTACATTGTTCTGATCTGGGACAGCTTAATTCTGAGCTTTTAACACCTCAGACCTAGATTTCTAAAAGCTAAATTGCTTCTTATTTGTCTCTCTTGACAAGCTCCCATCTTATAGCCAAGCCAGCCGCTACTTGTGTTTCTATAATGTTATGCTTCTGCCATTGTGTGTAATCGGAAGTTGTGGTGCTTTGGAACCCGTTCAGGAGACATTGATTTTATCTAGGCAGTGCTGGAACAATTAAAATACCTTGGGCCGGAATAGGGTCCCTCCCTGGACTCTTCCTGAGCAACGATGTCAGCTTTTCCTCCCCAGGCTATTGTCCTTAAAGGTCCAGTGACCACTCCCAACTTGTAAAGCAGCTTATTAAAATTAGTGCCCGATTCCCTGAGAAATGTAAAAGCGGCAAAGAGCAGCAGCCGTACCTCTGTTGGTGTGAACAGAAACCAGCACTATTTTGGCCAGGAGCAAAATTGTTTTTTTCCAGAAGGGTCATGATTAAACTGTAGATTTGTATTTGTCATTTCCCAATGAGACAAATTGATGGTAGCCAGGCCAAAACAATATCTGTTAAGGTACAATTTTGTGGGAGGGACGCAGACCCGAAATTTTCTAGCTGCTAAAATCATATGCTTGACAATAGATGGCTTGCTTCACAAATGTGCTTTTGTTGTACCATTTCCTTTGAAGCATCTGACTCAGGCTGCTGTTAGGCACAGGATATTAGATTAGATCCATAGCATTCACAAGGCAGTCTGTGATCCCTTTGTTTACAGCCTCTGGGCCGGCCCTAACATTATGCCGATTGAGGCGGTTGCCTCAAGCAGTGGATACTGGATGGTGGCGGCAGCAACCATCCTCCTTGAGCTGGGAGAAGTAAGATCCCAGTAGCGGGCTTGCTGTGTCGCCTAGGCTCCTTCTCCCAATGTGTCACAGACAGCACAACTGTGAGCAGGCAATGAGGCACCATGCAGCCCAGGTCATGAACTCCTACAGGCATCACACACTCCAATCATGTGATATGTATTGGTGCAGCAGCTGCAACACAGCATTACTTTCTGCAGGTAGCATATAGGTGTCAAGCAGAGTGGGAGTAAGGTGCTGGAGGACAGAGCTGTGTGTGTGTCATGCAACCTGGCCTGCACCCCATTAGCACATAAGAAAAGCCCTGCTGGATCAAACCAAAGCCCCATCTAGTCCAGCATTCTGTTCTCAACATGGTCAACATGTTGATGTCCACAGGAAGTCCACAGGCAATATGTGAGCATGACAACACTCGCCCTACCCACTAAGCTAGCCTGCTGTGCTTGGGTGAAGTGAGAGATGCTGCCCCATCAAAAGCACTGAAGTAGGATTCAGTTACTAGTCTAGTCCGCGCCTGTGTGTGCAATTGAGGAGGAGGGAATATTGTCCTTTGCCCCAGGCAGCAAAATTATTGGGTCAGCTATGAGTTTTATTCTTCTTACCCCATTTCCCATACCTGGTCCAGGTAGCTCTCTCAGGTGATGAGTGCACATCTCTCCCCCGCCTCCTTTTCTAGCATAACATGCACATGGAAAGCTGAATCATATATCCCTGGTAGGGAAGTTAACGAGCTTCAAAGTAAGGCAGAATGCATTGACTCTGTCCCTGCTAGGGGAGGTCATGAGTTCTCCGTTTCCATGTTATTCTGAAAGCACAAAATCCAGGTATGCAGCTGACTCACAGGCACACTCTCACCATTTCCTGCATTGTGAAATGCTGCCCTAAGGTGGCCACTTCCCATCGCTAGACCTCTGTTTACAGCCTTGTTACCAGGGTTAAATAGCTCTCTTGCGGGCAGAAACAAATGGCCAGAATGCTCACGGGTGCTAGGCATTGCACCGTTTCACAGTGCAGGTGAAAGACTGCCTATTTTAATACTCCCCATGTACACTAGACCACAGTTGTCTGCCTGCAAGGAGTGGGATGTGGCATCTCATTTGCCTCTGAACAGTGATTCAGAATTTACCGTCACCACATACAGTACTTCTTGCTCAGACATTCTAGCAATGGCTCTAAAGTTCTTTTCTGCCTAACCCGTCAGGCAAGCTACCCTGCTTGCCCTACCCTGCTCCACACCTTACACCCAGGTCTGCATTGTGATATCTTGCAGTAGGATGCCTATATCCCACACTGTAACCCTGTGAGCGACACTGCTCTTTTCACCTTCTCATAGGCAGCCCCTCCACAGTCTCACGTGCTACATTGGGCCAGGACAGACAAATGATGTGTTGCGGTCCATGCTGTGCGACTTGCACAAGTGACGCGAGGACATCGCACAACGTGCATGCACGGCATGTGCACGGTTGCCATGGAATTTTGAGGTGGCTCAGCCTCTACTTGAAAATCTGGGGGGCCCTCGGCCTCCGCCCCCCTCAGATGGCGCCCCTGCCCCCTGCACACCACATTTCCATGTACAGAAGTTGATGGGACAGGTTCTTGAATCTTACTTCAACATTTGCGACAAGGCAGCATCCTCCACCACACGAGGGCAGCCACCTGTAGCACACACAGCTCCACCCTCCAATACCTGCTTGCCGCCCCTGAGCATTTGCCACCTGAGGCAGCTGCTTCACTTTGCCTAATGTTAGGACGGGCTCCAGGACCAGCTCTGGCTATTCCTTCCCCAGCTCTTCTTCAAAGGAGGAGTAGAACTTGGGGGTGCTGACACACAAGCGCGTGGTGCCGCCACTGTACGCTGAACGTTCCCCCAGTAACCAATTCTGTGCCAGGGGAAGTATGTAACCCTGGAGCGAAAGCAGCTGCCTCAGGGGAATTGCCTGGTGTGTAACAATTATACCAGCGCAGGTAGTGCACCCTTGGTGACCTTTCCTGAAGTTTACTATTTGCTTGGTTACAAAAATATAGCAAACAAGCGATCAAGCCTTTCCAGAGCCACCCATTCCTCTCCCAGGGACTGCTGCCCCCTAGAGCCCTGGGGGTGCAAGTGACTCGGGAGAAGGGCAATTGAGGAACTGTGGGAAACCCGGCCGAAAAGATGGAAAGCGATACCCTCCCTTGGACCTGCTTCGCGCCGCCAGCCAGTGGCGATGAGAGAAACGTTTCATTTCTCCCCCAGAAGAGCTAAATGCTGCCCTGATGCTCACGCACTTTCACCCACGAGAATACGGTCCAGCACAAGATATCTTTTTACCTTCTTTTGTTACGTCCAGCGGCACACAAAATACTCTGAAAAGCAGTCCTATCCCCTCATCCCACCTGTTTTTGAAAAGGGTGAAGTCTCTCTCCCCCCCCCTTCATGTTTGGCTGAAAAGAGGAGAAACGGATACTCAGGGCCCTTTGACTGCGGGGCAAACCAGGGAGGCAAGAAAGCGGATTTTCCTCCTCAGTGGCCGCCTCTCCCCCCCCCCCCCCAGCCTGGATCAGACTTGGAACAATGAGGCCCCTGTTTCTTTAAGACTCGCCGGCCGAAACTCCGCGTTCTTCTCCCTCAAAATAACTTGACCAGAGGGGAGCCTGGTCTCCCGGGATACAAGGTCAGAAACAGAGGGCATCTTCTCTCTGCTTCATGGCAAACCACCTCGGGCCGAGCCAAGAAATGGCAGGGAGACCCTCGTCGCCGTCCCAGATTGCTTCCCCCTTGACAGATCAGCCAGCGCTCCTGGGAACAACGCAGCTCGCTTTTCCCACACAGGCGAGCAGGGCAGCTGCGCGCGATCCCCACCCCCAAACTCTTAGGGTGTAGTGGGGATTAGACGAGGGCTCCCCCTATAGATGGGTGGAGATACAACCTGACCCCCCCGCCTCGTCCCAAAGTCTCATTGACCCACTGATTCATTGATCCAATATCTCGGCTGCGCTGGACGGACGCTCGTAAGGGAGCAAGAAACGCAAGAGGGCGCTCTCGGGCGGGAGGGGTAAGGGGAACCCTAGGCGAACCCCACCCGCCTCGCCCAGGGCGGTGAGGGTGGCGCGCCCAGCCCTGCAGATGTCCAGGACTCACCTGCCCCGTCCCGTCCCATTCTCTGGGCGCGTTGTGGGGAGCCTCTCTCAAGGCTCTTCCATACCTCGGGCGCTCCGGGCTGCCTGGCGGTGCGCGATCTCTGCCGCCGGGCAGCACTTGGCTCTGCCTTCTTCCCCGGGGCGTGGCCCCCGCGGAACTGTTGCAAACGGCGCCTCGCCTGGGCTAGAAGCAAGCCGGCAGGCGCCTCAACGCCACGATCCGCTCACCCAGCACACTGGAATTTCAGGGCAGCTGCGCGCATCTAAAAGCCAGGACAAACCTCTTTCCCGCACCTTGCATTTGGGCTCTGCTGAGAGAAATGTTGCGTGGTTCTCTTGGCGTCCTGGCCGCCTGGCCTCTGTTCTTTACCCAGGCTGCGAAATCCACCTTGTGATCACAGAGTTCTGTGCAACTGGGAAGTTTGCACCAAGAGAAATTGATCCAATAGAACCTTCATCTTTTTTATATATATTTTAGATTCATGTTAGATATTCAAACGAATATGAATGTGTGTATGTATCATGTTTACAGCTTCAGCTTTCAGGGTGTGGGTTTTGTATTACTATCATCATCAGTAATAATATTTGCATTCCTATTGTCTGCTTGACAACTTGGTATGTTCACCAGGATACCTCAAGCCACTTATCTGGTCAAAATGATATATACAGTTGCCTATAAAGGCTTATCTCATTATGAAACCAGAGCAGTACCCACCAGAGAATTTACTGAGCTAGCCTCATGGGAATAAATGGAAGCAGTACAGCCAAAGCATTCATTTCAGAACTTGCTTGTGGGGACTAGATCCTTTGCCTCTAAGGGAATGCGCCTTTGGGAACCAGGACATTGAACTGGAGATTTAGAACAAGGATGGAGAAATTATGGTCCTCAAGGTGTTGTTGGACTCCTAACACTGGAGAGCTATCGATACTCAGTGTGGTCTGTACAAGGCTAGAGAGATTGATTTTAACCCTTTGACATTCTGTTATACATCTGACTTACATGGGAGGAAGGTGCATGAAAATAAATTATACTTCCAAGTGAGCAGAGGGGCAGGTGTGTGTGCGAGAGTGGGGGCCTGTCTGAGTCAGTGATTTCAGAGGCCATTTGTCTGCCCTGATGCCAGGATGTTTGTCCAGCCAGCGCAGCAGGAACATAGACACCCCATGGCTTATGGCCTCGAAAGCATGCACAATTCAAGCCCCTTTCCAATGATCCACCACCTAGCCTGGTTTTACTGATTTATTAATTCTGAATCCCACACTGCAACATTAACCAGGGAGAAGCAATTCTGTTACAGTTTAACTCTGGGTGCTTTGCTTTACCCCCACCCCCTGTTAATCACCTTTTGCACACAGCTCCTTTTCTCTGCTAGCCCTTTTCCTTTACACAGGAATACTCTTTTCTCTCTGCACTCTTTCCCCTCTTTGCACAAGATCTGCATCCTTCCCTCACTTGTGCTACTATTATTCTCTTTCCCCATCTACAGTTCTCATGACTTCCCCATTCACAGAACTTGCTGCTTTCCCAGACACGTCAAATATACATCCTCTTTCCTCCCGCCACTGCAAATAAATCACACCCTCTGCTCCTCATTGCACCTCATAGTACTACAGCAAATATCCCACCTCTATGTCACCCAACTTTTCTCTTTCTCCAGCCCCCAGGCCTCTCTACACCCTTATCTCTAAGCTTCTGTATTTGGTTTCTCTCTGCCCTACCAAGTTCAGTGGCAGTAGCCCACAGGGCTTTTGCTCTTCCAGCAACCCACGTGTTAAGGGAGATGCAAGATGGCCATGTCGTGTGGCTGGCTCCTGTAACAGACTGGCAAGGTAAAGTTAAAGGGACCCCTGACGATTAGGTCCAGTCATGACCGACTCTGGGGTTGCAGCGCTCATCTCACTTTACTGGCTGAGGGAGCCAGCGTACAGCTTCCGGGTCATGTGGCTAGCATGACTAAGCCGCTTCTGGTGAACCAGAGCAGTGCACGGAAATGCTGTTTACCTTCCCGCCGGAGTGGTACCTATTTATCTAATTGCACTTTGACGTGCTTTCAAACTGCTAGGTTGGCAGGAGCAGGGACCGAGCAACGGGAGCTCACCCCGTCACAGGGATTTGAACTGCCGACCTTCTGATCGGCAAGTCCTAGGCTCTGTGGTTTAACCCACAGCGCCACCTGCTGCACCTGCCTGAATCCCTTCTGGAAGCAGGTATATCAGCATTTGCCAACGTAGCAGGGGTGGGTGGGGTGTTCCAAAACTTTGCTTTCCAGGCAGTTGCTGGAAATCTGGCTTTTGTCACTCCCTTCATGACAGTACTCCTCCCTGCTGTCTCTGCAATGCATCTTCCTGCTCATCAATGGTCCTTCGTCAAACTGGAGGGAGGATTTGAGTGGGTCAGTTTTGTTAGCTCAACCTCATAGTAAACAATACTCAGCTTTAGAATTACAAGCGTAAAGCAGATTATTAATATAAGCAAATTAACATTGGGGTTTCCCTCTTGCCCAACCAAAAGAGGTAGAAACAATCCTCCTTATATGGATTGATGTACCGATTAATTGGCCCCTTGGGCCTGATGCTGGGTAACTCTTACTACCCAGGGAGAAACCCAGGCTAGTGGTTTAACTGCGAAACATGCAGGCACCTGGGGGAGCATGAACTGACTGGCTGATTAATTGGCCACTAGGGCCTCTCAGCAGCTCTAGCAATGTATATCTGCTCTGGAAATGTCTATTTGGATATGCTTACCCAGCTCCATTTTAGTTTTGTGCCTCGAAATTTGGGTCATCTGACGGAAGAACCAGATGACACAAATCCAAAAGCGCAAAATTTGGAGCAAACCTACACAATTTGTGTAAAGAATGATGGATTGAAACCAACCTGCATACCCTCCAACATTCCTCCAATGAAAATAGGGACATTCTAAGGAAAAGTGGGACATTTTGGGATCAAATCAGAAACTGGGACAGCTTCTCTAAATCAGGGACATCCCTGGAAAATAGGGACACTTGGAGGGTCTGAACCTGCATCGCTTGGCATCTTTTAGCTTTAATTCCAAGACTGAGTAAGAGTTATGTGTAATCCAAAAGCTTGCTTCCATCATGTTTTCACAACCGGTTGTTTTAAAACTATATAACTGCATTTTGTGTGTGAGTGCTATGTGGGGTTGATCCAGCTACCAAACACTCTGATCCTCTCAATCCTCAGTTAGAGCCTTGGGTTTATGAGACTGCTGAGAGATCACTGGTGCTTCACAATTTTTATGTTCGGTATACGTCAAATGAAGGTTGGCAGTTCAAAATTTTAAGCCATCTTCCTGATCTTGCCATGATCAGTTGCAAAATTTGCATTGAACATAACAGGGTCAAGACAACTCCCTAGAAACCTTTCCTCCCAGTGATAGCAGAGCTTTGGGAAGGTGGCATGAGGCTCTGGGAGGGTCCTAGAGTCCTCCCAGCTCCTTCCTAAAGCTGGGAAAGCACTAACTAGGTTTTGGGAAGGAGAAGGGGGGACTCTAGGACCCTGCCAGAGCCCCCACACCTCCTTTCCAAAGCCCAGTGCCTCACTTACCTGGCTTTGGGAAGGCAGCATAGTGGCTGCTTTGTGTTGGCCCCTCCTGGCCTAGAGAGTGCAATCCTGCATTTGGCCTGTAGGCCAGAGCATCTCTACCCCTGAGGCAGGGCTTCCCAATCCCAACATGACTGAGTTGGTTGTCAGGGCAGAGCTTTCACACAACAGTGGGGGGAGATTATGCTTCATTGTCGGAATCGGCCTAGAAGAGGGCCAAAGTAGAATCAGGAAGTTTTTTTGGCTCTGTTTGGAATAACTTTGCTTGGGTTCTTGGTGACAACTTCTCTTCTACAATATCAGTTTTATCCCACAATCAGAAGTCTTTTATCTACTGAATGAATTATGATGGGACCATCCAACAAAGGAATATTAAGTACTCTATGTAGATCAGCCAGCAGAAGAGACTGACTGTATCTAAACAGATTCAGAAACAAAGAGAAGTCTATGTACATCAAGAGAACATTGGAGAGCTCTGCAAAGACTAGTTTAGCATAGGTACACCAGCACCCTGTGAACAATACAAGTCTCATAGCAACAGGCACAACAGTATTCTGGCCCCAGGGACTTTTCAGGGGGGAAACCAAAAAAGTGGTGTGCAGAAAAAGGGGAAACAAGCCCAGAGGAACTTCCCCTTTCAGGATGTGACAGAGGAAATAGCTGTTAGGTAGTGACAGACAATTCCTGGATGGGAACTTATGAAACATTCTGAGATGGAAGCACTTGCTGCAAGTGGCATTGGAATCTTTCCTGGAGGAATTACTGAACGGGTGAAGTGGGAACCTGGAATATGATGAGGCTGAGAGTTGTGAGTCTGTCCCACAGGTGTGTCAGTGACCTAGAGATACAGAACTGTTTGCAAGTCATCCCAACGGTGCAAATGACTGAGGCAGCAACACACAATGTACCTTTAAAGAAGCAAGCACCACATCTTCATACCTAATGCCCAATGAAGTCTTAGGATGCTTTCCTGGCCTCTGCATCACTGCATTTCCAAAGGGGCCAATCTGCTCACCCAAATTATGTGTTCTTTATCCTTCTAGCATGAATAAAGAGGAGCAAGAGGGTCTGAATTTTTATCTTGGAAGTTGGTAGCTCTGTAGATTATAATTTCTTCTGTCCTAGTTGAGATAATCCACTCCTGGAGCACTGCACCTTCCATTTCTCTATTCTTCATCTCAACACCACCGGCTTCTTGTCTCAGTGTTTTAGGCCCAGCATATGGGTAGAGGTGGTGGCATAATTATTTATATGCAGGGTCTGATGTTGAGAGGGTCTCAACTCTGCCTGTTACTCACAACACAACTGATGTGCTGTCATTTGTATCTGAGACTAGTGGTTACAGCTAGGTAACTTTAAACTCTGTACCTAGTGACTTGTATCCAATGCAGCACTAAGTCTTCTTCTTTGTCTTCCATGAACATGGTCTTAACAGTGAGTCCATAAGTGACTGTAGAGGCCAATTCTGGATCCACACGTCCTTCCAGAGTGGGGACATAGGTTTCCGGGTGGGAGTTGATCACGGTGAGTTTTCCATATGTCCCTTCTTCTTAGCATGTTTCTCCCTTTTGTCCTGAGTTTGAGTGTCTTCAAAGTCCATGACACCTTTGGTAAAGGCTGTTCTCCAATTGGAGCGCTCGCAGGCCAGTGTTTCCCAG